TCTCTCTCTCTCTCTCTACGTATTGTTCGATTGCGCAGATGTAATTCGGCGCGTTGCGAATAAAGATTTCTCTCACGCCTTCGCGGAGTAGCGTAACACGACACAGCTGAGTAAGCTATTAAAAGCGTCATTTATAATAAATAAACACTCCCCGATAACACCAGCGATACTTCATTCCCGGAGATCAATGTTTTCGCCTCGCTTGAAATTCACGCAGCATCATCGACAACGATGGCACTCACGATGGAATCACAAGAGAGCGGGGGGAAGGGGAGAGAACGTACTTCGAGATATCGCGAGAAAGTACGGTAAGATTCTTCGCGGAAGTTTCGCCGGTAATTATCTAAAGTTACCGGGGGGTGGGGGCTACGAGTCAAAGTGTGAAGTCGTGTTCGAAGTCTTTCTGCACTTCAACGCTCCTTCGCGCCGGTTAATAACAAATGAGCTGCGAGGCCCCCTCGCTTTTGTTATAATCGGAGACACTTGCCCCTCGCACCGAGTTACCGTCGTCTACCGTTCTGTATTATTCAATGAATTCATTTGTAGCATTCTAAACATCCAACTTATATCTTCCTTCCGCTCTCGACGTCTCGCCCAATCCACGGAGATTCTACGGGCGAGCCTCGATATCCGCGACGGAAACGCGCCGAGTCTCTGAAGATTCCGCGCGAACCGACTGGTTTGACGGCTTTTAGACCGGTAGATATCTTCTAACGAGGACACGATTGAACACACAGTGCGTGGCTACTTGATGGGACACCTGAAGACAGCTCTTGTTAGTTGGCGATAACGTGCTAGATTACTGGTCATATTATTAGACGCACCTTAATTATTTTCAGCGTGTCGATTGAAATTCGTGACTTGAAATACCTTGTTTGCTAAGAGAAAAATAAATTTTTGTGTAAAAAATATTAATATTGTTTGGAAAAATTACGAATAAAATAAGTGATATGATACATACTCAAAAGGTTGCAGAGGTAAAAGCGCGGTTTGACACCGAAAATTGTTCCAATCAAGTGAAATTAATAGCTTCTCTTCTCCTCCTAACTTATATTCTATCAAAGAATCAATGTGCGTCTAATAATATGGACTGTAAGTTCACCGTCGGTGAACTTGTTATTTAATTGTTTTTATGGTTATAACTAAAAACAACCCGAGTATAGCCAGAGAGCCGAAGACAGTAACAGCAATTTCTACCATTGTAGAGATTACGTTGCAATGTAGCGCACAGAGCAAAAGGCTAAAGGCTTACTGTGCGCCCATCGTAGATCCGGGCTTAGATCGATCCACCACGTCGACGGGGATTTCACGGGGGATCGGCGCGCGCGCCACCTCGAGGAAGCGATTAATATGAACGGACATTACATTCGGACGTCGTCGTAGTATCCGATCTGAAAGCATCAGTATGATCCTCCGGCGTACAGCAGCAGCGCGCCGGTTGATTTACAATCGGCCGCGGAATTCGCTTGATAATCAAACGAGAGTTTCGGATTGGATTTGTTACGGCGCGTTGCACTGTCTCTCTCGCGGACCGCGCGCGCTGCGCTACGCCGCGTGCATGCGAAGCGCGCGCGCGCGGTGCATCGGTCATGTGAAGGAAAATCAATTAGCCGGGCAAACTGATTCGACTGCGTCTGTTTACTCGTGCGAGTCCGCAATGTGTTTCGCGTCATAGCACAGACGCTTTTGCGCGTATATACCGCCCGAAGATACACGCACATAGAGAGAGATACACAACCGGGCTTTTGTGTTCGTAGCTGATGCACCGCTGCTGCGCGCTGCAATGCACGCACGCGTGTGTGTTTCGATACACACGGTGTCCTGGCTGCAGTGCCGTGCTCATACATATACGCTCGGATGTACCCGTATGTCCGTACGTACGGCCGTACGTAGAATTTAAGAGATGGAGTGCGTTATAGCTCATCGTGATGCTCAATATGCTCTATAGCGCGGAGATACGGTCGGTTAAAGGTATCGTTCGAAGAATTAGGTCGATATGTCATGGTATCGGGCATGATGATACCGTGTCTACAACAAGCTTTCTTTAGATTTGGTATTTCTATTTGTTCAACTAAAATTGAAACAACATACGAAATGCTATTTGTTTGAGTAAAAATTTTACCGTCTCATTCAAGAAAACTCTATTATTTAACAGAGAGAACGCTGTTATTTGAAACGATATCTTTCAGCCGAATAAAATATTATTTGGTTACAAGAAATATGGTAAAAGGAAACGAATCATTTCTTTATAAGAAAATTATCTCTCGTTTCGAACAAACTTTTCATTTAGATAAAGATACCTTATTCATGGAAAAGTCTGACAATCGTATTTATTGATTGAAACACATTAGTTTCTTCGGAGCATGCCGATGATGAAATTCGTCTGGATGCAATAAAATGTATGAAATTGAACGAGCGAGCGAGAAAGCAGACGAAGTCGAATAAATGACAGATCGAAGTGGACGCGTCATCGAGAATGGCGCGCGCGGGGATCCGGGGAAATCGGCGAGTCGATTGCCGCGCCGAGTGCGCTCTCTCTCAGCGTCGTCTGTGCTGTACCATTTTCCAAGTGAAAAATTACACACAATTTTCAGCATTGTACATACACGGCCTATATAAGCTTTAGATCGCGCAAGTAATTCTAATTGTAATGATAGACTTGTAAGGCTTCAATTACGACGGTTCTCACCTTGTGTGTGTGTGCAAGGCTGAAGATTGTGTAATTTTCGATTTAGAGAATGGCATACGATATACACGACGCAGTCACTATATACTGTATGACTATATATATATATATATATATATATATAGTATATATACTATACTATATGTATTATCTATATATAAAAATCTCACGGAAATTATTAGCGAGTTTTGGCCTCAACTGTAGCTAACTAAACTATATACAAGATGGCGTAGTAATCGTGGTATAACCGGAAGGGGACGACCTTTCTTGAAAAATTAAGTCGAAAATATGGAATAAAAGTTTTTCATACAAGGCTTTGTTTCCGAGCAAATCGATTTTAAAACTTAGCCGAGTACGCGTGCACTTAACCAAGCCATCGTGAAACGGATTTCGATAGTACGGATTGTACTTGATATACTCGTAATAAATTGTCATGAACTGTTGCCTTAATATCGTATTACTTTTCAGTTTCAACTGCCGCTACCTAACAACTTCTATCAACTTTTATAACTTGTCACAATGGCAAGATATATTAATCGAGAACACACGTATATGTGTTTCTTACATATAGAGCGTATGATGGTACTAATGAGGAATCAATATTGTATGACATTGTGTGCTTCAAAGGGTTAAATGTAGTATATCTACTTGACTATCTTCGATTAAAGTCAATTTTTTTAAAAAACAAAACTGTCGTATAAAAATCTTTTATTCTACATTTTTGATTTATTTTTTCAAAGCTCTACACACACACACACACACACACACATGTATATACAATATAAAATATACTATGTGCATATATACTATACCTCCTTTTGTTGTAACAAAAAAAAGGTAGCAGCAATATGTGTGTACAATTATTATTATTATCATTGACAGTGACATTTACTGGAAAAATAGTTCTCTCGATTACTACAGCTTTTTCATTCGTATGATTATAGTTTGCAAATGGCAAAAATGGTCTCCTCGGCGATAATATTCGACATTTTTGTATTTATTGACACGTTTTGCGCGTCGCAGTGAGAAAATCCGACGGTCCAGCGGAAAAGAGGAAAAAGGACGTCGATGGGCGACGATAGGTGATGAATGACGGAAAATTCGTGCCGGATGCACGGTTAAATGACATGGGATATATCTGCGTTCGATCAGAGCGCAGACGATATATATCGTGCGTAGTCGCGATCTCTCGAAAGTGTTTGCTCTTTCTCTCTCTCTCTCTCTCTCTCTCGGATACATACACGTGACAACACGTTAATAAAGTTACGTCGCTTCGCGGGAGTGATGTATTCGCATTAGTCTCGCTGGCCCGATAATGACGTAATCATTGTCATCGAAAAAAAGACGCGCTCGCGCGCGCGAGAACGAGCAGAATTGGCCGACGCTTTAATAAGGACGATATTGAATTACCTAGTTCTGCGCGAATCCTAAAATGACTCATTTAATTTGCGACGGCGCCGCGACGCCGGTATGCCCCGATTCTGTCAATCTTCCCTCCCGGCTCCGCTTTAAATATAATATAAATGTATACGTATGTATCATGCATGTGCGCACTCTCACGTACATGCGCGCATATATGCAGTCTCGCGGTGTACATATGTACGGCGCGCACGCGTGCGTGTCCTGTGCGCGATCGGTAAAAATAAAATATGCAGACCGGATAAATATTAAGTGCCGTTGACAGGTAAATCGCGTATATATATATATATATATATACATATATATATATATAGAAATATATATATATATACGTTCGATTTTCAGGGGGATGAAAATATTTCTCGGCGCCGGTCATTAGTCGCGCGCAATCGGCCGATCCGCGCTAGGCGAGAATAGCTCGGAGAGGAGAATTTTCCGATCGAGACGACCCTTCGTCGCCCTTGTCCTCGCGCCAACGTCCAGACGGCGCTCGGTTTCGATCGGGAAATTCCCGTCGGCAGATCGATTCGGGTAAAACGGAAAATGACGCCAGAACGAAGTCGGAAAATAATGTGTACGTATAGAGAAAGTTATTTGCAAAGTCATTGTAAAACAACATTTTTATATGATAAATAATATTTCAAATAAATAACTACACGTATGAAGATATTAATAAAATTAATATAACATAGCTTAAAACTACGATTAAATGAGTTTGATAAGATCGGAACCTTCTTATTTTCAGTTTTGCTTTGTATCTTTTTCATCGCGTGTTGCCATTTCTACGCTGAAAGAGATATACATATATTCGGCAATATCGAAATGAAATTGGTCTTAATGTTGTAAAAAGATCTTAAGAACTTCGATGAGAAATGGCATTTTTTTTATTTTGCAGAGTCGTATATTGGAAGATGCATCCATTGCAATGTGCAATTCTTGGTCACCGAGGCATAATGTGAGTACAGTATTCCGCTTTTCTCATCTTTTCGTGAACATGCAATTTGGAATTAATTCGACAACTTTGCGCTGCGTTGTATGTGTGTAGACCTGTCTTAGAGCTATCGCAGAGGATGATTAATGAGGTGCCTGGGCCGATCAATTTCATTTTTGCGAAACCACGTCGCCTCGTGGCTTCATTTTAATGGGACAACCGGATTATTTGAGATCTAGACGACGCGCTCAATGTAGTTGCACATCACATACCGAATGTCTGTAGAGTAGACGCATCGTTACACGACAGTTCTATATATCAGGCTACATCCTTACGATATTGCAACATATTTTAAATTTTACAAATAAAAAATACATGAAATTTCCTTCAAAGATCCTTCTTTGCTTTTAGAGTTTGTGCATTTTATAAGTGTATATATATATATATATATATATATATATATATATGCCCCGACCGATAGTTAATGAATCTATAAATAAAGAAAGTGAGTCGGTAAGTATAAAATATTTTGTGCAGCGTAAAGAAGAACTTCGTTTTAAGTGTAAACTTATCTTGAAATACAACTTTTAACGTGACTTCTCTCGAGGGCTGAAAATTTATATTTACCTGTCTGTCTTATCAATTATTGCCGCAATTATTTTTTATATCTTGAAGATTTTATTTTAAAAGCAAGAAAAAATTAGGAGCAGAGGAAAGTGGAGAAAAGGAGTAACGAGAGAGAAGAAAAACAGAGGAGGAGGGAGGGGGTGAGAGAGAGAGAGAGATTATGAGACTGTTGCTGTATACGAAATGCCCCATAATATTTATGCTTTACGGAGCCACGTAGTTACGGTGGCCTGGCTCACATAAACTCACTAACTCGTGGTTACGATTATGGCCAGTAGTAAATTGATTATTTAGATATACGATGAGGTGATGCAGGATAGTCCGGGCGCCGTAAAAAGAGCTATGTGTCACTTATGCTCGCCGCGGACGCAACAGATACCCGCAGGTGCAACAAAGTCAGCGTGACCCGTGCTTTTTGCACCCGGTTACTTCGCTCGCCGCATTATATATCCTCCTTCTTCTCTCTCTCTCTCTCTCTCTCTCTTTCTCGAGGAACACGTTACGAATTATTTGTAACGTCAACGCGTGCAATCGCGAATGTACTCGGCCGCTACCGCGATTCTGATCCTAATTTCTTCATCTGTGCACTTCACATCTGTCGAGAAGAAATTTATGTGAATCGAATTCACGCGAGAAGAATAAAAAAGGGAAAGCAGAAGGAAGAACGAGAAAAGGGGAAATGATGACAACGCGAGGAGGGAGAGGAGGAGGAGACGACGATCTCTCGCACGGGGGAAACATTCTTTGCTGGCACAACAAATTGTTTTTCACTATAATGACAGCAAAAAGATTTGTTAGATAGGAAAAATAATTTTGCTGTTGCAGCGAAACGTCGTTGCGACAGCGATGAAATTGAATTTGGACAATTAATACTGTGAACAAATCTTATCGCTGTCCGGGCAAATTCTTTTGCTGCTCTAATAAATCTTTTTGCTATATTCATTACAGCAAAAAACAACTTGCCGTGTCGGCGGGAAATTTTTCTCCGTGCGGGAAGAACGTAACGTCGCGCGGACAGGCCGCCTGTTGCGAGACGCAATTTCCCAAGAACGTCGCAACGATAATAACAGGATAATCGAAACACGCGCAATAATAATAACAATAATGACAGATAATGCCGAAACACACATACAGTGCGACATGGCGACGATAATGTAGCGGAACCGCAACCGACGACCGAATAGCGGAAACGGAAATCGATAATTCAGATTTAACAACAATAATGCGCGAGGGATAATATACGTAGCGACGGCGGCGGCGCGAGATGGTACGTGGTGGACTCGCGCGACGCGGCGGCAAGCATAAAAAGACGCTAATATAATAGTATTAGCGACAATAGCAACGTTTAATATTAACGCCGTTAAGGGAGCGGAGTGTAACAGCGCTATTATAAATCGATGATACCTGGCGGCGACGGCGGAGTCGAGTCGCGTCTGCGCCACCGCCGAGTGAAACTGAATTTGATGGTCCTGCAAGCGCGAGCGAGCGAGAGAACCGCGCGAATAATGGTTCTTTACCTCTCTAGACAGTAGGTACTCCGCCATGCAAGTGATAATTTGAACAGTCTCCTCGTTTTCGTGTCAGACGTCAGATTTTCTGGAAGAATCTTACTTATTCATGCGTCAGACTACTCCGTGTGATGTAGGTTATCGGACGGAAATAACGTAATTGTCCCAATTTGCGATATCCGATAGCCGACGGTCCAGGCAGCGCCGCCGCATTCGGAGAGACCCGGCCCGTATAATCACGACCTGATTGCTAATTAATTTCATATACGCCCGGCGTATATATACGGTGATTGATCCGGCGTGCTGGCCGACGCGATTAGTGCTGCTTATTATTCTTTTTTTTCTTCTCTCTCTCCCTCTCCTTCTCATCGGCGAGTGAGCGAGCGAACGCGCGCTCTTAGTATTGATGCTATGCTATTCGTGTCTTATCGACGCGACGCGAACGTTACTTCGCGGCGTTATCGATCCGATATCTCGCGGATAACACCGCCGCCGCCGGGCTCAGACACGACTGGGCTTTGATCGCTAATTGATTTTGTGCACACGCTCTCACTGCGCGGCCTCTGTGTATCCGCGTATTGATGCGTGGACGTCTAATTTTGCATTCGTCTGCGGACGAAATCGATCGAGAGGGAAATTGGTTTTCCGCGAAAACCCCCGTGATTTTCCGCCGCCGCCGGAATTATGTCCCGATATACGAAAGGAATAACATCTGAATGCGCGGAATTTGAATTATTCATCGCCGTCGTCGTGACGAAGATCGATAGATACGGTGTCGTCCTCCTCTTCCCCCCCCCCCCCCCCC